CGGGGGCCGGGCCCTGCCCAGATGTTTCGGCGGGCATACATAAATGCCCCAGTGGGCACTATAGCGCCCGCGGGCACCGCATTGGGGACCACTGATATATACTAAAAGCAATAGGGATGTGAAAGATTAACCAGTAAGCATCACCCTTAATGTTAATGGGTAGGCGCTGGAGCAGCTCCTCACCTGTTATGGACAGGGGTCTGATCCAGAGAAGCCCCTTTCCATGGTGAGCCTGGGTGTGTTGCAGGCAGGGGCTGCTCCAGGTGGGCTGGAGTGGCTGGGTGGAGTGGTACCCCCTTAATTGGTTAACTGGTTAAACGTGAAGTGTAACCACTTTTTTTCTTCTTTCAAGCTCATCTGAAGAAGTAGGTTTTGCCCACAAACGCTCATGATACTCTGTATATTTTTGTTAGTCTCTAAAGTGCCACGGGATTACTCATTTTACAGTTACGCAGGATTTTACATCCCTAATTTTGAATCGGTGCTGTAAATATGGATATGTAAAAATCATTCAAAATACCATCACTTACTGAACTCAGTAATTGAATATAAATATATGTTGTTTGGTCTGTTTTTTATGATCATCTTTTATGCATATGCTATAGGAACCAGGGAAACGATCCCAACTTTGGAGAATGACTGGCACCGGCATGCTTTGCCATGAAGGCTCCTCAGTTCCTCATAACCCCAATAAGTCATCTTCACCTCGAGTGGTTGAATCATCCATGATCTTAGATATTGCAGGCCTGGCTGCAGTCACAGATAACAGGTTCGCCATGCATCATTTCTGTTTAATTGCTATAGATTCTAATCTTTACTAAATTTTTTAAAAGTACAGCTATTAAAAGTTAAATAGTCTAAGATGTTTAAATTACCCACATTAGATTACTGGATGGCTTGAAGAATCAGTGATTGTATTCATAACCTGCCATTGCTTTATCACCCTTTTGAATCTCTTTTGTATCTCACACGTATTATTTAGGAGCAATGCTACAAGAGCAAATAGATATTATACTTTTAAAAATAGAACAAAATAGGTGTGTGAGACTAATTAAAACTTCTCAACAATGGAATCTAAAACTAAAAACTTTCAGTCTGTCACTTGCTTGATTCAGGTATGAGCCCCTAATGCTGAGAAAGCCAGATCGACGGCGCAGTACTACTCAGACATGGAGTTTTCAAGATGGCAAATTAACTTGTGGAATGCATGGCCTTGTTGTACAGGTCAGTATTAATATTTCTACTCCTAACTTTTTGCTGACTGAGGTGTGTGAGGTTCAGATCAGGTGGGCTATTGGTATTATATCTTTTATTTAAAAGACCAAAGATTCAACTAGCAATTCACCTGATTATAATTTTAAGAAAGGGCTTTAATTATCTGCATGTATTCCTATGGGTAAAAATCAATTAAACACTGGAAAACTGGGACCAGATTTTTCAGTCTTAGATGCCACAGTTAGGCAATTAGTCTTCTAAAAATTAATATAAGCCAGAATTGCACATTACTGCTAAAAATCAGACCAACGTTTTAGATGGTAATAGGGATTTAGACATCTAACTTAAGGCACCTAAATCTGAAAATTTTGGCTTAAGGGTCTCATTTTCGGAGATGCAGAGCATGTGCAACTCACTGTTGTCAGTTGGAGTTGTGTGTGCTCACATTTCTGACAATCGGATATATAACTTTCATGCCTCAACCTTGTTTAGTCATGCATTCTTCATTAAGCTCTGCATGACACTTGTACATGTACTTTTCATGCAACTAACACATGCATATACATCTGATAAATTCTGATACCTGCATGCAAGTGCTAAAAAATGTGGTGCATCGTAGAGAAACTCTGGCCCTGAAAGTTAAAGAATGTTGATATTTATGGTGATCTGTTGTAGTTATTACTATGTATTTTATATCTTTCTGGTTTAATCATGTTTATCTTTATCTGATTTACAAAGTTTGTTGGAAAGTATATTCTGTGTACATCTACTTCCTCTTGCAGTAGACAACAGGGTTTGTTTTTTGTGATAAATATGAATGTGATAAATTGACATTTTATAATAGAATAACATTGAAAAACAATGAGTTGTGCAAGCTATGCCAGTAGAAATCAGTCTTGATTTGGTGTAAAGAGGGACTGTGTTGTTTGCTATGTGAGCTCTTCGATCAAAGACTGATTCATATAATGTATCAGGAATGGATATGTAAGTTACAGGATAATAGCATCAGTCGTCAGAAATCAAAGGTTAAAGGGAAACTGTCAGCATTTGAGAGTCCTATATTTGACCTGACCTTTTTTCTTGTTTATAAATTGCATGTCATTTTCGTGTGCTGTTTTTTCTAAAATAATTGCTTAAATGTATATTAATTAAAAACAAAACAAAATTCCTGCAGCTCTGCCATGCTGATGACTAATCCTATAATAACAAAACAGCATATCTATGCAATGGAGGAGGAAATTTCTGTTAAGATCCAGTTTGAAGCTTGAGACAAATCTCTTTTGTTACAAACAGGATACAGGTTGTGGGAAATATTTTATGGTGTTTCACAATGTCCTTCTAAGAGTGCATTTATGTTCTGATGAAGCTTATGTAGATGCTGTGCTTATAGAAGGTGCAGGATTGAGAATCTTGGAGATAGAGGACTTCAGTCTCCAGTAGAGATTGAAAAAGGATAGTGGTAGTGAAATGCACCCATGTTGCTTCTGCCAATGCGTTTCAAGCTTAATCTTAAGAGATTTTTCTTGAGCTGAAACCATAGTTCAGTTTTAGCGTTTATTCACTTCTTAGCCTGTAGGTTGAGACAGCCACCAAGTATGCCATTCTGTGTTGATCTGATGTATTTATGGTATGGATGTGTGTTCATTGGGAATTAGACTGAGGCCGTCAAATTGGTTTCACTTTGCCATCAAGGAGTTTATGATGATTTTCTGTCATTATTAATCCATCTTTGGTTAGAAGGCTCTCTAGACCACCCCCTTTGCCATTCATTTTACATGCACTTTTCTTATAAATCAACCATGAATAAGGATATTTTATTACACTGAAACTTGTGCAAGTTTGCTACCCAAGAATACTTATTCAAAACCATTTTTTTTTTTAAATAGGAGCAGTATTTTTTTTCTAAATCATTATTTCCACAATGTTATATTGGCTTTGTGTGTGCACTTATGGCATGCTTGTAATATATACATGCAAGTTGCATGCAACCTACATGGCATGTATATGAGCACATGGGAATTCCTTTGTAGCTTATGTATGGACTAAGGAAACAGAAGCTAGGACAATCTCTAATAGTGGACAAGCCAACATGAGCTGCAAATTAGTGGTGGTAGCACATTCCTTTCTTGTCAGATTAAAGCAGCCAAAGAAATTGAGGTTCCACTATTAAGGAGCAGTCTTTTTTTAACAAAGGCCACAGTATTTTTGGCTTAACTCTGGATATATTATAAAAGATTAGAAAATAGATCCAAGAAATTTTCTGACCCTTTACAGAATACAGATTCTGTGGATTCTTTTCTCCAGCCGCATAAATATATAGAGAGAAAAATTAAATACATGTTCAGTATGTGGACTGAAGTAATGTAAGCTATAAAAGAGAAGTGCTTTTGCAATACATTTTTTAAATTAATATATTCAAACAACATTATCTTTATTCTTCTGTACCATTTCAGTGTTTCTGCTTTGTGCTTTTAATGTTTTATTTTATTTTATTTTTTTTAGGCAAAAGGAGGAATATCAGGTTTACGTGATGGGGCTGAGGTGGTTCTTGGTCCTGATATGTCTGTAGAGTTTTTGGGGCCCATTCCACCTGAACAGCAGTTTGTAAACCAGAAGATGAGGCCTGGGTCAGGAGTACTGGCAGTCAGAGTTGTTCCAGATGGACCAACTCGAGTTCTTCAGGTGAAAATTAATACATTTTGAACACTGTCTCATTAGTTTCTGTTCTGTTTGGACATTTTTAACAGTGCAGTTGTAAATTATTAAGTAAAAGAAAGTTAGAAAAGCATTGTCTTAATTTGTAATTAAGAAAAATCTCATATAATATGTAGAATTGGTTTCAGATTTCATCAGAGATGTTGCCATTGTATTTTTAGTTAAAGCTAGTGTCCTACCATGTGGGATAGAATATACTTGATTTTTCTTCTATACATAAAATTAGGGATGTAATAGTGTAGTTGATTAGCCAATTAAAAGCTTACAAGTTAATGCTGTATACTATTCACACACACACGCACGCGCGCGCGATGCTGTATACTATTCACACACACACGCGCGCGCGCGTGCGCACCCACCCACCCCAGTACATTTTTAGCAGGCTGGCTAGCAGCCCAGCTCAGTCCTGGTTTGTGACGGGTCTGGGACCTACCACTGCTGTGGCACTGTATTTAAAGTGTATTAGGAGCCAGGTGGGCAGGCAGCCTGGCTCACTCCTGGTTCATTTTGGGCCCAGGAGCTCAGTCCCTCCTGACAGGGGCTGCTGCCACCCAGTGTTACTGCCTCTGTATCAGAGGCAGCAGTGCAGAACTACAGGTAGCCAGCTGGTGCACAAGGGGAGTTGGTTCTTCAACTGGCCCTCGCAGACCAGCTCTTGCTTAGACCCCACGCTGCTGCCTCCTCAGGAGTGGGGCCAGAGCACAGTGGTTGAATAGTTGAGTAACCAACAAGAATTCATGAGGTTACTCAATTATTCAATTAACCAACATTTAACATCCCTAACATAAATAAAAAAATGCTTATCAGTTTATTTTTTTAGATAACAGATTTTAACCAACGCAGAAATGATCGTTTATCATGTGAAGGCAGTGAACTTCCAGTTACGGAACAAGATTTGCGCAAGTTAAAAAATCCAGACACAGATCAGGAATTGGAAGTAAGAAAAAAAAACATGGTAGGCCTTTATTTTTTTTGCCATAAAGGACAGATGTGTACAAGGTTGTCCTGTATAAATCTACATCACTATTCTTCAGATCTCTTACTCTGTTGATTTTCCATGTCTCAACCTCAGATTTTAAACTATATTTAAAGTAACAATTCAGTTTGTCTTGCAAGCTTGTTATATACAATTATTTTTGTGTTTTCAGGTGCTAGTGAAATTAGAAGGTGGAATAGGATTATCTTTAGTTAATAAAGTCCCTGAAGAGCTGGTGTTCGCAAGCCTCACTGGAATTAATGTTCACTACACACAGTTATCATCCAGTCAGGTGCTTGAGCTCAGTATACAGGATGTACAGGTAACTATTTTTGAAATAAATGTGTGAATTTATTTTCATAACCCATTTAAGGATGCAGTAGGTATTTGCATGTCCATATGTAATAAAGTAGTGATATATAATGTGTTTTATAATGCAAAGGGACAGATGATGTTTCAGATGAAACAATAAAAGTCCAGGGCTGGTCTACAGCATATGAACATAAAGATGGTATGGTCACCTTCTTATAAGAGCAGAATTTTGCTCTGATATTCTGATCAAAATGTCCCGTTACTATGCAAAATCAAACAAGTAAAAGCTTGGTAAACCTCTCGATCTTGGGAATTACAGTCAAGATAGCCAGTACCTTTCCAATATTGTATGTATATTCCCACACTCAGATTTTTAAGGATTTGAAAGGGTAAAGTTAAGACTGAGTGCTTATTATCTTTCAGAAATATTAGATTTAAAAATGCAAACCAAAGAAAGCCATGAAATACAGAGGTAAAGTTACACTCCTCAAACAAGGTACCTACTTTGCTTTAACTCTGCCTCCATACAGATAAAAATGTACAATTTTTTTAAGTATGAAAACAACGCGCTGCAGAACAGTGGTTTTATCATTTGTTTCGTATGTGCATATCTTTGACAGTAACTGTGCTAAGGTCTTTTGCCAGACTAACCGTAGCTCTTTTTGTGCTAGTGCTCTGTATTCATTATCTGGGCATCAAAACTTTGTCTGTGGAGCCATGTTTACTGTGTCTGATAGTTGAGTAGTTGGCTGCCACTTGGCTGCTTTGTGGAATCCACTGAAGTGTTAAGCACTTCTCAGATGTGGCTGAGTGCCCTTAACATCTGGCAGGTTTGGGCCCTAAAAGAAGACTGAGGACTCATGGCATTCAGTATGCTATTCGTCTAAGAAGGAACTTTTGGAATTTTTTTTATATGTACCATGTATGGCTATAAAGAACACTGCATGAAATTTCAATCCTCGTGTGATTAGGATTAAGTAAAAAGAACGCATCTGGGGATGTCCTTTAAATGTTATTCTTCCCATTAATTTTTGTTATAAAAGAATGAAGGCTGGGCTGTAAGTGTGGCTTTAGACCTTGTTGCTCTACGGTCAACCAGCTCTTCCTTCACCTTGAGACAGCATTTTGAGAAGATGTCTGAATTTTGCTAAGAGCACTTTTTCTAGACTTCAGTGCAGTGCACAAGTTTCTATGATCCAATGAAGCATCCTGGTGTTCCTGGGAAGATAGTGTAATTGATAGAAGAGTTCTGTAATGGAAGGGAAAGCTGCGTTCGAGTCAATGGCAGATACAGGGCATTGTTTCTGTCTCCGTAGTAGTTCAGCAAAGCTGTATTCTCTCTCTCATTCAAAGTCAGGGTTGATTGATGGATAAGCTCTAGAAATCTGCTGTTGACAGCATTGAACTGAATAGCTTCTGCTTTGAGATCTTGAATGTGTTGATGACATTGTCTTGCTGGTTCATTTTGCAAATTGCAGCTAATGGCAGATCTCTTCTGGCAAGAAGCAAACTGAGTGCATATTAGTCTGGTGATTAATCTGGATCGGGGTGGGCAATATATGGCCCATGGGCCAGATCTGTCCTGCCAAGCAGTTTCATCCAGCCCACTCTGCTGTCCCCTGGCCTCTGGAGAATCTGCTGTTCAGAACGACCAGCAGCTCCCTCTAGGAGTCGTGTGCCCTGGCTGGATGGGGATGCAATGGGGAGAGACCTCGTGTGCTTTCCCACTCCACAGAGGAGCATGCGAAGTCTACTCTCCCCATATAAGGCGCCTAGAGGGAACCACCCCTTCTGGCTGAGGCCCCACCCTTTCCGAAACTGGCCCGCAACCACTATCGACATTGGTGAAGTGGACCCCCTACAAAAATTATTTCCCACCCCTGATCTGGATTAAAACTCAGTTGCTGGCCATTACCATCAAACATTCTCTTGCTCAGTGGTCTCCAGCCTTTTTACATCCAAGATCACTTTTTAAATGTCAGAGCAAGCCAGAATCCCCCCCATCCTTCCCTGAGACCCCACCCCTTTCTTGAGGTCCCCGCTCTCTCCAAACCTTTCTGCATAATACCTGTTACAAATGGAAACTCACCATTCATTGCATAATTACATCCAAACCATTTTGCTAGGGCTGCAGCTAGGGAGAATGGTTTAATTTAAATTATTAAACAGATGAACTTTCTCATGTTAGTTTATCAAACTTCATTTAAAATAAAGTAAAACATTATGCCCAACACAAGATTTCAATGTTTTATTTATTTATGGCAGGGGTGAGAAGCATTTTTTTGGGTTGGGGGTTACTGACCCGCAGAAAAATTAATTGGGGACCACATACAAGTGAAAAGTAAGACCACTCCTCCCAAAACCCCCAGCTGAGACACCTTACTCTTTTGGCGTTCCAGCCAAAGGGAAGGGACAGGGAGGACTGATGTTCAGGGCTTCCATAGGCCAGAGTTAGTGGATTTTGTAGAGTCCCTTAGGCTCTGGGGTGGGAACAAAAATGAGGGGCAGGACTGCCATCAAGTGGGATAGGGATTCAGGATCAAGGTGGAAGGTGGGGTGCAGGATGGGATGATGAGGGGTCTGGAAGGGATTTTGGCGTCAGGAGAGGCTGTGGGGTGGGGTACAAGAGTGAGTTTGGGAATGGAATGGTTTTGGGGGAGTAATGCAGAAAAGGTGAAAAGGTAAAAATGCAGCCAAATAGCTAGTTGGGAAGGGAGGCAAAGAAGTGGGGCATAAAGGAAAGTGCAGCTTCTGCAAATTGTTTCCCCCGTCACATCTTCCCTCTGCTCCAGCCTTGCTCCCCTCATAGCGTGCATAGTGTGTTCTATGTGTCTGCTGTTCACAAGACATAAACAACCCCTCCCCTTTTGCAAATGTTTGTCTTTCAATTTAGAGAGAGAGCTTAAATTTCATTATCTGTGCTAAAGAAGTATCACGTTATACTGTTTTCTTGTTAATTCTACAGGTGGATAACCAGCTCATTGGCACCACCCAGCCTTTCATGCTCTTTCTGACTCCCAAAATCAGTGAAAATGAAGCAATTGAAACAGGCCCTGCAGTGCAATTAAATGCAGTGAAATTTCCCAGTAAGAATGCACTAACTGATATATACAAGGTAATCCTGTTTGACAGTAACATTAAAATGTCATTGTTTTTATTAAGTTTGTCTTTAGCTGTTCCTAGTTTTTAAGCAGTAAGCAGTTTAAATTAAATCAGATACGTAGATGTACTATTTGTTTGTAGCGCTCATTCATACTTTCGAGACGCTAAGTATCTTAAAGTACGTTGTGATTGATGACAATGTCGTGACTTTGTGGGCAAATGTGGGAGCCATGTAACTTAACAGTTCTCCCTTAAATATTAAGAACTTGATTTATTAAGGGAGAGAATATTGGCCAGGACCTTAAAGTTATCCTCTGTTCTTCTCCAAAAAAAAGTTGATGATCTTTAAATTCCATCAAGAATGACAATAAGATCCTTAATTTAATTAGTCACTTGAAGAATATTACATATAACAGTGCATAGAATTGTAGACAGTGTCAAATTGGTCCAAACATTTAGGGCTCATCTAGACTATGAGGAAGAGTCAAAAGAGGATATGCAAATTCCACAGGTAGTTTAGAGACAGCTTTTTTGACGAACCCCCTCTCCCCCCTTTGTCGAAAAGCCTCTCTTCCTCAAAAAATGAGGTTTACGCAGCTTTTCAACGAAGGGAGGTTGCAGAAAAAGCTGCATCTAAACTACTTTCAGCTTTCAAAAGTGTGATTAGAAGAAGATATGCAAATTCTGCACGACTGTTCCGCGTAGTCTAGATGAGCCCTTTGTGCTTTAACTCCAGAATCTAGTCTTCAAGCCACTAACTGATAGCCTTGGATAATTGAGAGACTCATCCTACCATAATGTGCAGAATCAACTGTACTATGCTGTACATAACGTTATATAAGGTGAATTTTTTCCCTTGGTCCTTGTGATGAAAAGTTGACACTTTGTAGTATCAACCAAAATTTAGAAGCATAACTACAAATGTTAACAGTTACATATTACAGTATTTACTAATCTTAGTCTACACAGCAGTGACAACTCTCGGCAGGTTTTTTAAGGTCTAGTATGAAACTTAAATCTTCAAAGTAAGCCTGTATTAAATTTGACATTATTTGAAAAACAGCTGATTGCAGTGTCAGAGTCCCTTGGTAATAACTCTGCAATTTTAATACTTACTAATTAAGCATAGATAGTTACAGGAACTAAACAAATAGATTTCCCTGCAGATTTCTTGTAAATATAAGAGGAGGAAGGGCCCACGACATTTTGACAGTGGGAATCCTATTATGAAAGCCTATGAATGAAAAGAACTGTCAAATTACATTAGATTTTCTTTGTTAATAAGGGTAGATGGAGAAAAATGCTGTTGTTCATGCTGTAAATTTAAATAAGCGTTTCTCTCTGTAGCATCTGATGATCACTGCTCGGAAGTTCACAGTCCAAATTGAGGAGAAACTGCTCCTGAAACTATTGAGTTTCTTTGGCTATGACCAGTCAGAATCAGGTACAGTATAAAGTTTTAAAAGGTCAGTTCTACAGTATGCAGATTTTGTTGTATCACTCTTACGTTCATACAAAATAAGTTCAAATTTCCTGGCAATTTTCACTGTAAATTTGAAAGTGTTTGACAACCTGGAATGTCCCACTATAAAAGCTGGAAAGCTAAGATAAGTCAATAGCAGCTTACATACTGTAAAGTGTTTGTTCCAAGATTTGGGAAATGACTCATAGAACATTTTATTATCCAGTGTATCATTAAGCTGAGTCCCTATGGGAAGAAGTTTAATATTCCTCTTCAATTCCTGTATCTGGCGTCAGCTGAACTAGGATAAAAGAAAAGTTATGTAACCAACTACTTGGTTTGGTAGATTTGTTTATTAAATAAATTCAAGATTAAAGATTGGCTCTCTATTCATTTTTCATTTGACAATGCCTCCTGATTAATTCAGAAAACTTTTTTGCTGCCTAGACTGCCTAACTTGTGACACCCATACCCTAAATACAATGGGGTTGAATCAATACATTGCAACTCTTACTCATTAGAGAGTGCTACTGATAGATGAGGAATGGGACAGCACTATAAGGGTGTGTCTAGACTGCCCCGCTCTGCCGAGCAGCTGTTTGTTTAAATGGCTGCCCCGCTCTGCCGATCAACTGTTTGTCGGCAGATGGGGGCAGTCTGGACGCGCCGCGTCGACAAAGAAGCCTTTCTTGATCGGCACAGGTATGCCTCGTGAAACCAGGTTTACCTGTGCCGATCAAGAAAGGCTTCTTTGTCGACGCGGCGCGTCCAGACTGCCCCCATCTGCCGACAAACAGTTGATCGGCAGAGCGGGGCAGCCATTTAAATTTAAATGAAGCCGCGATTATTTTAATCGCGGCTTCATTTCCCTCTGCCGATCTGTCTAATCTACATGCCTCCGTCGACGGAGGCATGTAGTCTAGACACACCCTAAGTGTAATAAAAACGTTTCTTCCTCTTAGTTGAAGCAAAACAAACCTTGAACTGTTTTAGCATCATTCAAGGATTAGAGAGGCATGTATCTATTTTGAGCCTTAACATTTGGAAATCTGCTGAAATAGCAGTTCTGGAGTAATTATTTGGCAATAGTTAATTGGGGATAAATTATAAAAGCAGCTTTTTCGGATAAGCCATTTGTGTAAATTTTCAAATGTAGAAAAGCGCATTTTAGGATCTGAGTGTTGCACAATTTTTAATGTATTTCTGCCTGTGAGGTAAGTGTTGCATAAAAAAGCCTCCGCCTGAGCTCACTAGATTTATATACATGGATTTTCTAAAGCTATATCAAGCTGTACGGTCTAAGATTTTAAACTGCAACTTATTGTGATCCTTGTCAATCTTTGTAATCTGTGTAACTCTCAAACTTACTGTAAACTGCAACTTTGTAATCTTTGTAACATGCAGCCACCTTGCTTGTAACCTTCACTAAGCTGCATTCTCCCCTGAGTGAATGGAGAGAGAGTGTGAGTGTGTTTGAAGAAGGCTTGGAACAATGGACCACATGGCAGTGAGTCATCACAGTCTGGGCATGCTCTCTGCTGGATAAAGGGAAGTCTGGGCATGCTCCCTGATGACAAGGTGAATGAGTCACAGGAGCCATTCAGACACTATATAAAGAGAAGGAGCACATGTGAGACTCTCTCTTTTTCCTTCCCCTGCTCCTGAGAAGCTCCTTTCCAGTGTGTGTCTCTCCTGACCAGCTTCCCTAGCCATGATGAGCAGACAGACCCTCCAGGATCCACATGCCTTGGCTCCTTCTGCAACCTATATGTCTGTGTAAGTATGTGATTGCCTGAGGGCAGGAATGAATGGGTGTGAATGAATGGTGGGGTGTGTGCTTGCTTGCTTGTCTGCATGTGTGTGTGTGTGTGTGAGAGAGAGAGTTCTGTCTTCTTTAGCTTAAACCTTTGGTGGCTACTTTCTCCTCTTCAGTTTTATGTAGTGGAAATAAACCCATGCTAGTGTAACCCTAGGTAGTCTCCAGTGAGAATATTTTTGGGGTAACAATAAGCAGTGCTATTATCCCCCATTTAGAGTTGGGGAACTCAGGCTCAAAAAGACAAATGACTTTGCCTGAGGTCATATAGGAATGCTCTGACAGAATAGAGAATTAAAACTTAGTCTCCCAGATCTCAAGCTAATACCCTAACAATTGGACTGTCCTTCCTCTTCGATTACTGCATTGCTTTTGCTCTTTTGTTGTGTCCTAGTATTGCTTCTTGGCTTAAATAGATCAACTAGACCTCACTGAAAGACTGTTCTGCCATGCAGGCAAAATATGGCTTAACTTGAATGTTTCTGACATAGAAATGCTTTTATGATTTATGATGGTCTCATGGACTCTAAAAAGAAAGAAAGAGATGCAATTATATCATTTGTATTTAAAATACTGAAAATTGTTCTCTTTGCTGGAGGCCTCAACAAGATCTTTAGAGGTTCTAATAGTCACATGAGGGCGGTAACCTGTGCTGTTTCTTGCCTCCTGTCTTCACAAACTGAAGGGAGAGATGCGAAGAAGGAAATTGTATCCTTTTTTACTTCAATTTGAGCTTGAAAAAAGAGGATGGAAGCTACACTTACTTCCTCATTTTATACGAGGGTCAAGGTCCTCCAAACAGCTTGTCTGTGCCCTCCAGAAATAAGAGGGAAGCGAGAACCTGGTACTCCAGATGTGAAATATTATTTCAGTTTGGTAAAAACAAAAATCTTTTCGATCATCTTGATTCATTGTAAGGAATCTATAAAGGGGAACAAAAAGTCTCTACAGTTCATTTTTCAGCTTGCTTGGTATTCACATATTGCAGTTGTCTATGTATAGGCAGTCCCCGGATTACACGGATCCGACTTACATCGGATCCCTACTTACAAACGGGGTGAGGCAACCCTGCACTAGCTGCTTCCCCCCAGCAGACCAGGGAGACGCGGAGCAGCTTTTCTCAGCAGACACTTCAGCTTCAGAATAAAGGACTGAGGGAAGTGAGGTGTGGGAGAATAAAACTGAGCTCTGGAGAAATGTTTGGCTAGATTTTCCCCTACAATATGTACCAGTTCCGACTTAAATACAAATTCAACTTAAGAATAAACCTATAGTCCCTATCTTGTACGTAACCCGGGGACTGCCTGTACTTTAGAAATTCAGAGCAAAAAGGAAAGTCTTTTTCCAAAGTAACCAATTTCACTGCAATCTGTCTCAGAATTCACCATTGAGATAATAAATGTAACTGAAATCCGGAGCAAGATTATCAATGAAAAGGAAGCCTGTTTCTTGCTGGAGTTGCTTAATTTTGTTGTTGATGTTTTTTTAATTGATTTTTAAAGGTTTTTTTTATTATTTTTGGAATGTTTTTACTTGTATGATGCTTTAAACAAGCTGTGTAATATTGGCTGGAGCTCCATGGGTCACCTTGACTTTGCTAATCATTCAAATCAGGTGGTATATGTTCTCAGGGGTTTTGATTTATTTTCATTTTCCTCTAGGATCCATTTAACTCTGCTCTTCCTGAGAGGCCATTTTATTTACATTTTCCCTCTAATCCTTCCTCATTTTCTAGATAGTAATAATAGGTGAATCAGTATTTGTTGAATTCAAGTAGTGATAGAGAACTGTTGATTTATCTATAAGGGAAGTTAGAGCAAGATCCAGACAAAAGAAATAAGTTGAATCAGTTACCCAATCAAGTACATTTATGTATGCTTTAAGCAAATATTAGTGTTATTTCTGTTCATTGAATAAACATCACACATCATTGAGGGAGAGAAACTTCTGTGCTATGAATATTATCTCTTGAGTATTACAGGGGAATCATAAAGTTACATGTCTCTACTGCCAGCAGCATATTTGAATTTATTATAAATTATGCTTTTTGTGTGTGATGTTCTCTGAATTGTTCTTTACTTAAAGTCAAAACATTCCATTGGTAAGAATGGTGCATTCCCAAGTCTGAATTCCAACGTTACGTTAGAGCTATATGGTATGGCATGCTGATTGGTTTCTGAGACATTTTTTTTTTTTTTCAAGTCTCACTTGCCCATGTTATGTTGGGCACTAGTAGACTGCTGTGCATACTGCTTAATGCTTGAAAAAAATGTTCTGTGCCTGAATACTAAAATGGCATATGTTTTAATCAATAGTTACCTTTTTTTGCAGGCTACAGTAGGTATTGTCCTTTGAGGTAGAAAGCATCTTGTGGTTAACTGTTTCGTGTTAAATACTACAATATTTGAGATGATCTTATCCTTAAGTTTAAACAAGTCATTTGAAACAATGGGAACCCTTGTCAAAAATCCGTGTGTGCAGTAATTACAGAAGTTTAAATATGTTTATCTTTGTTTACTTGGTCCTGCCTCAGCTTAAGGGACTGGGCTTAATGACTACTCGAGGTCCCTCCAAGGTCTACCTTTCTATGAGTCTCTGAATGTGTAGAGTGTCCTCCTTTACTGTGGTAACACATATACTACATTCACTGATTAATGAAATCAGCAGTATACTCTGGATCTGGTGAGAGTGCTACTGAAAAGTGAGCTAGCTGCAGATATTTTCTGTTCAGAACTACTTTCCCGGCAGAAAATACGGTGGTAATGTTGGCAGGATTGCAGTCTGTACAGTGATCTCAGGACTCATCGAGGAAGTCGGAGAATTAGGTGGCATAATGGAGACCAGTCCTTAGATTCTGTGATAATGAAATTAAAATAAAATGCAATAAGCAAAATTGGAAAATTAATGAATATATCAGTCTGTAGCTACCACTATTTATTCTCCAATTTATTCATATATGGGGATTTTTAAATAGAAAATTCTTTCTTTACCCGTTCAACATACTCTGGCAATGGTTATTCTTTTGGCTAAACTGGAAAAATTGCTATTTGTATAAAAGATTTTAATTCTTTTCCTAGGGATTTCCTCAATTTTCATTCTAGTTGGGGTAAGAAACCTAAACTTATGTCAAGTAGCCTGCTATGCTTGTCCACTTAGTACATTATTTCAAACCTAGAGGTATAAGGAAGCAAAAAAAATATCCATTTATTTTACTGCCAGATTTCATATTTGCTCTCCTAAATGTAGTTCCCTTTGAAACCACAACTCAAAATCAGTGAAGGTTGTGTAGTTAGAAGGTATTTGTGTACTACTTTGTCTCCCTCAGTTTATCTAAGCTAGAAGTAAAAGCAAACATACTGACTGAAGGCTAAGGTATGAGGTCACAAGTTAGGTGTCAGGGTGGCATAATATGTATTAACTAGCTATAAGTAAGGAATCATGGTTTGAGATGAAAACACTGAATAAACCAATGTGGCTTCTCCCATGTCAAAAGCAGGTTTATTGAGTAGCGATGAGTCCAACTGAACTCTCTAAGTTGAACTGCCATCACATATAGGAAATTCCTCATTCAAACATTACAAACTGAATCCCTTCATAATCTTCAGCCATTCATAGTTTTGTATACCTTCATAATTAGCTAATTTTTATTCCTATGTTATGCTTTCCTAGCAGAGGTTGAAAAATATGATGGAAACCTCCATGAAAAGACCACTGATCAAGATGGGGCGCAGAAGCGATACTACTTTGAAAATCTTAAAATCAGCGTGCCACTGATGAAGTTGAGTGTCTTCACTTCCAATAAACTGCCTTCAGACCTCAAGGTAAGCTGGTGCACTGATTAGATTTACTTTAAGTGGCGGGATTTATTATGAGAGAGAAAGTTGGGTGCATTTTTGACTTGATGCTCTCTTTTTTCACTTACGTAGCATCTTCCTGTGTTACAACATGTTGTACAAGCTTTCTTATAGGAGTAGATTCAGAGGCTCCTTGCTTCAACACCACATGTTAACTTCTTGCTGCAACAGCTTATGGCTAGAGGTTTAAAACTCCCCGGTTATTATAAGAAGCGCAGGCATGCCTTCTTTGCTATATTATCAAGAGAAAATACTTACTGCACTCATTTAAAGGAATTGTTGTCATCAGTAGTTAAAACAAGATGATAGGGATCAGGCAGAGTTGTTGACTCGAGTCCCACTACTTGAACTTGAGTCTGACTTAAGTCGCCCAGGTGACTCGACTTGAGACTCGACTCAGGTTCATTGTTCGTGACTTGACTTGAGACTTGCTAATTTTGTTAAATTGACTTGGTGAAAAAATTGTCCAAAAATGCCGCTATTGATGGCTTGTACAAAAGTGACTTGACATTTTTTAAATTAAGACTTGAGACTCGACTTGGGACTTGACTCGAAAGTGACTTTAGGGACTTGAGACTCGACTTGGACTTGACAATGACGACTTGAAGACAACACTGGGATCAGGCAATGGCAACTGATGTAACTGGGGCTGAGTAGATAACATCTGCCGAGTGAAATACTGTATAATAGTGGGGGAGTGGGGAATATTAATTAATTTTTTTCTCTCTCATGCACTCAAAAACTAAAAAGCAATAATACAGGGTAACTAAAAATAGATAAACCAGAGCCTTAGATGAGTCCCACACAAGTAAGACCAGAATACTAGAATTTAAAACTAGTGCTTTTATTTCACAGCAGGTGATTTATGAAAGTACATTCAGTTACAATATATAACACAGAGGATTTTGAAGCAGTTTTCTCTCTCTCTCTCCTGGAGGCCTATGACATGCTGGTCCATAAAACCATTGGAGTCTTCTAGAGATAAGATGATGTACAACCAAAGCAATTAATTTGCCGTCTGATATGAAAAGGAAATTTTAGTACAGGTAGTAACTAGTTCTTAACATCTGTATGAGTCCTGATGCTTTAAGTTTGGAGTGTAACTAGGAAATGCCAGTTCATCAATAGGAATAGGAATTCATCAGTACATGGGATTTCAGATAGTTCTTCCCTTTCAGACTCCTCCCTTACTGGACAAATGATTAAAATTGCTCAGATTTCCTTTTCATGCAGTTCTTCATTGACCTGGCACTTATCAAATCCAGAGAGTTGAATCCAAGAGAAGTTTTAGGAATCTACTTACATAGTATTCTCATGGTCTGGAATCTCAAGCCAGTCTGAATTTCTTGCCATGCAATCTGCTCTTACATTCTTTGAAGTCCTGAGGAAAATCATGAAACGAGCAGTGGATCTTTGTGGCAGCCATAATTACATCCATATGAACCTCTGAAAGTTTCTTGTAGTTCATCTTTTGCTTACTGCAACATTGCTAATAATGATTCGGTCTGTGATCTTTAATTTAGAGTAAGGTAGTTGCTCCAGTATGAGGCAGACTCCAAGGTCATCTGACCTGTATTGCTCTGGAGGTATTTTGATCTGTCAGTTGTGCCTTTTTCCTGCTAAGCATTTTGCAGTGTCTGCTTCAAGAAACTTGTATACTTTTTGTTAGTGCAGAAGGCAGAACATTTCCAGTAGAAGGGAAAGTAAGCATGCAGGAGCTCAGCTGCCTGTAGGCGCTTTTTGGTTCTCAGAGCTGAATTCTGCTGTTACACTGATGGGAGGGACCCCATTGACTTTAATTATAGAATCAGTGTTAAGTGGGGTAACGCTACCTCTGACTGCAAGGATTCTTTAATTCAGAGTGGCCTCTTAATGATTTATGGAGAATGTCAAGCTACTGTCACTTTCTAAAGCAATGGCAAGAAAGGAAGGAGTGTTTGGAGGGAATGGGGACAGTAGAAGGAGAGAGCAGGTGACTAAGTAAGCTCCTCGGTTGTATGGAGCAGGCTATCAATAAGTATAGGAGGACCACTAGAGGGTAATTGTAACATGAGAATTCATAGATGTGTCGGAGAACTGGTTGCTAGAGCTGGTCGTGCACTTTACTTTTTTTTTTTTTTTTGGTCCAAAATTGCCATTTTGTCAACCAAAGCATACAGGGAAAATGCAGATGGAGAGATCACAATTTCATTTTGCAAAAACCAGTGCACAATAAAAATACATTTCAAAACCTTGGAAGTTGTCATGAAACAGAATATTGTCATTCCCTGACCGGCTTTACCGTCTGCCTGAAATGATGAGAGGCCTAAAGCCTATTAATTTTTCTGGGACCAAAACTTTCCACTGTTAACCCTTTTTTGTGTTCATCATAAAATTAAAGCAAGGGGTGGAAGTTCATACAATCTGGGTAAAACAAAATAGCCCAACATAGTGTTTGGTAAAAATGTCAGCAATGCAAAAAATAAATTGCTAGTGCTATGAAAATAACATCAGTGACAAATAAATTCAAAATTGACTGTTTTTAAGTGGGCACACAATAAAATTAAATAATAAATGACCCCACTAATACAAACAATGCTAAACAATACATTGTAAACGTGTGTGTGTGTGTGTGTTTGTTTTTTTTTTTTGTGGTGGTGGTGGTGGTATGTTAGGTGGTGCCATAGAACCCTGGGGACCTCTTAGTTATAGGGAATGAAATGAGTTTCATCCCCTCAAACTCTGATGGTTTTTAGCACATATGCCAAGAACAAGGACAAATTAAGCATAGGTTTTTGTTATTCTTTGTGGTTTAACAAGGGATTCAAAAGGAAAGGATGTTTTGTTTTTGCATTGGCACAAGAAGAATGCTCCTCATCCAGATCAGCTTGAGGGAAGTGGTAGTGTGTGTAGGACTGCCTGACTAGCCAGGCTAGTTAGTAACACAAGTTGTTTTAGAGATACGCACTTTATCAAACAAAGACAATATTTAGCTAGAACACGAAATGTGTTTTCACAAATCTTAAATACTTTTGCTGGTCTCTTGCCTTGTTTTTAATGGAAAGAAACTGGTATTGTTGACTCTGACATCCCAGCAGCTATGAGCAGTGTCTCAAGAGAAAACTGGGCATGCAACCTTTTTTTCCCCTTTATAAAAACAGTTAGTGGGAAAGTAACATGTATGAACTTTTCAGAGAAGGGAGTTCCAGTCAATTGTGTCTTGTACAGAATAGATTGGGAGAAAAAGAGAGAACTTGCAATACTGTTTATATCTAAGTAAATTTATGCTGTATGGGTAGATATTTTCCCTACCTCCTCAATTGTTTTTAAGGCTTGGGGATGAATTTTTGTCAATGTCCGTGCAGATAGATTATCATTTTTATTAGTTAGTTATATCAACACACCTGCTTTATGTAACATCTAATGATCATGGACAGTAAACAGCTTGATACTTCTGTAAATAAGTGACAGGGTTGTACACTATTGTATTTATTTAGTTATTCAGTGGCTGTATGATACTGAATATTTCCTAATTCTGTCCCCCCGAAGCACATACACAAACCCTTATACTAGCTTTGTAACATAATTTAGTGGCCTGCAGATGGCAGAGTAACTCACTTTACCTGATTTAATTTTACATTTTACCAATGGGTGTAACAAAGATTAATGTAGAAAGATATAACACAAATGCCAAAGGTTTGTTAATACCTAAAGAGTCTCAATGGATTAGGTGTTTGGTTTGAATTTTGAAGTTAGTAAATGCTTCAGCAACAGATGTCACTTACAGACTGAAATAAAAAGGAAATTTAGTCTTCATTGCCTTTCTACATTTTCTTAGTTTTAGTGTTCTTGATAAAATGAGACAAAAGGTAAACATTTTCAATATACAACAGATGTTTTTCAATCTAAATGTCACCATCACCGTCTTTTTTTAAATTTATTTTCCTAAATTGACTTTTCCAAAATTATTATGCTTATATTAAAATATAAGACAGAAGACTATAACATGCTCGTCTTTTGGCCAACAATCACTATTGGAGACACAGTGACACTGGTTTCATGTAATCCCCCTCTCTTCTAGATATAATATGTTGGGACACTGATAGCAGTAACATCACTAATGCTATCCCTCACCCCAGCCATATATAGTTTAGAGCTACTGTTCATTAACAGAAAAAGTTCTGCCAAAATTTATTACTCTTCACAGATAGAAAAGTTTCTGCCAAAGCTTTATTTATCTAAGAGTAAGTTTCAAGGCTCGTCTTCACTACATGGTGGATAGACACTGCAATGATCAATCCACCAGTGGTCAATTTATCATGTCTGCTTAGACTTGATAAATCAATCTCTGAGTGCTCTCCCATCAACTCTGGTACTCCACCAGGATGAGAAAAGTAGCCAGAGTTGATGTGAGGATTGCTCCCACATACAAGACACCACGGTAAGCACGTTGACATCAGCTATGCTATTTGTGCAGCTGAAATTGCATAGATGAGATCAACAAGAGGGTTTAATGTAGACAAGGCCTTAGAGTTCTATGAATGCAACATCAATTAAGTGTTAGTTCTGAGATCAGAAATCACGTATTGGACTTTTTAATACTGTCAAACTGGCACACTTGCAGATTCTGAACTCCATATTGTCAGTGTGCTAGCCCTAATGAATGATTCAGTGGATAGCTGTTCATAAAGAGAATTGTCCGTTTCAATCTTACTTTCTCATCGATGATGTCCAAGATGGAGAGGGTCCAGCAGAGGGCAACCAATATGATTAGGGGGCTGGAACACATGACCTATGAGGAGAGAATGAGAGATCTGGGTTTGTTTAGTCTGCAGAAGAGAAGAGTGAGGGGGGATTTGATAGCAGCCTTCAACTTCCTGAAGAGAGATTCCAAAGATGATAGAGAGAGGCTGTTCACAGTAGTGATGGATGGCAGAACAAGGAGCAATGGTCTCAATTTACAGTGGAGGTGGTCTAGGTTGGATATTAGGAAAAACTATTTCACTGGGAAGGTGATGAAGTACTGGAATGGGTTATCTAGGGAGGTGGTGAACTCTCCATTCCTAGAGGTTTTTAAGTCTTGGCTTGACACAACCTTGGCTGGGTTGATTTAGTTGAGATTGGTCCTGCCTTGGGCAGGGGACTGGACTTGATGACCTCCTGCGGTCTCTTCCAGATCTATGATTCTATGAAGATGAGCAGTGCTGCTCGCCTCAGTCTCTTGGCCAACTTGTGAATGTACAGACCATTAAACTTTTATTCTTTAAATAGAGACGTAGCTCATGTCTGTACTACCACTAGGAATGTAAAAAATATAGAAAACATTAACTGTGTAATCAATCAAAATTTTATCAGTTACATAGTTAAATGTTTTAGAGGATTAGGGAAGGATCATCGCACCTCACTCCAGGCTCTGCCCCTTTCCTGGGTCTGGCAGCCGACCCCCTCCTGGGATCCTAGCATCCAGCCCCACCGCTGCAGCCAGCCCTTCCTCCACAGGCTCCCAGCTGCCGGGAGTCCAGGCTGCTGATCCCGCAGCTGGCTTCACCACCATAGCTGGTCCCACTGCTGCGGAGTCCTGGCAGCTGGCCCCGCTGCTGTGCGCTTTCCTTTGTGTTCATTCCCCACTTCATTTTAACTGGTGGCTTGCAACGTGGGTTAATGCCCCACCTTGTATTTAACTTAACGCTCTGGTTACCTTTTCGCAAAGAAGAGTTCTTTGAAACTCAAAAACTTGTCTCTTCCATCAACAGAAGTTGGTCCAATAAAAGACATTACCTCACCCACCTCATTTCCTTCACAAAGTTAATTTGAAAAAGTAAATTCTACGTAAATTCCACTAAACAAAGATGATGAGAGAACAGACTGAGGTATGTTAATACCTGTGGACTCTAGGAAATTGTGTAGGTAATATCACTTCATCCTAAGTCTCAGAGGGGTGACCCTGTTTTCTGTATCTGCAAAAACAACTAGGAGTCCTGTGGCACCTTAGAGACTAACAGATTTATTCTACTTTTTTGAACCCTATTTTCCACTGCATAGAATAATATTAAATACACTAACATTTATTAGGAGGTACACTTGATATTATTCTATGCAGTGGGCAAATAGGGTTCAAACAATTAGAAATGACCAAAATTATTTCCATAATTACAGTGTGATTACTTTATGCTTCTAGGTATCCAAATAACATGCAGGGGGGGAGGGGAGACTCATTTTATCTGAATAATCAGGAATTAAGATAGTTGAGAGGTTAAGAGCCACTCAGCAGCAGGGCACCTCCTCCCTGCACCTGGGGTTCATCTTTCCCCTGCTAGAACTCCAACTTGGGGGAAGGAAGGTCTCTGCTCTGCTCATTCATTCCAATGTAATCTAAGTGGGACTGCAGAGAGCTCCTTGCACTGCCACTAGGATTGCTGACAGTAGATCCTTGCATGCAGAAGGTGCTGGGGGAGGCTGCAATTCGGAAAGAACAGAGACTTCTGTTCTCTACTCTGCCCGCCAGGACCACAGCCTCCTGTGCACCTTGTGCCTGTAGAGATCCAGTGTCACCTGCCCTACAGCAGCGCAGGAAACCCTCTGCAGCTCTAGCTCACTCAGTCCTATGACAGCAGGGCTGCAGAGGGCTCCTTGTGCTCCTGCTTGAGCCATTCAGGAGCAGGATGGCCTCTCCAGTAGCATCCTCGTCCCCACAGCTGTGACTGGGGAGCTCTTCTTTATTATCCAAACCTTCACTTTATCTAAATCCTTTCCTTGTCCCCCCAGCAATAAAAGGAATTGGATAATGCATAGGTTCAGATAATAGGGCTTTGGGTAGATGCCAGTACACTGTGTTCCATTTACATGTCAGGAACTAGTTTTTATAGCTGTTAGATAAATTTCATTTGTTGCCTGATCGGAAATCAGTTAGTTCAAATATGAATGGGAAGTAAAGTGTAACAGAAGTCGTAATTCCAGTTTTTCATTTAATTAGGCACTGAAAAGCACACTGGGATTTCCTCTAATCCGATTTGAAGATGCAGTGATTATCCTGGATCCATTCACTAGGGTCCACCCATATGAAACAAAGGAGTTTATCATTAATGATATCCTTAAGCATTTTCAAGAGGTGAGTGTCAGATAAATCATACTGTGGCATCCACAAAAAGTTTAAAACTTTTCTGTTTTAGGAGCTCTTTATCAAATTTACAAAATAGTACATTTCTTTCTCTATTGTAATGCGTAAATATGTAGTGCTTAAGCATATTATGCTTGTGTGCGCTCTCTCTCTCTCTCTCTCTCTCTCTCTCTTTTATTTATCTATATATATATTTGATGTTAGGGGCCAGATATTCCTCTGGCATCAAACTTTCTAGCTCTGTCGAAATCATTAACTTTTGCCTCCTCCATCTTTAATGTTCTGATATACAGGCAGTCCCCGACTTACGCGAATCCGACTTATGTTGGATCCGCACTTATGAACGGGGCTTTCTCGCCCCGGAGGTCGAGGTAGCGGATTGCTACCTGCGAGCTCCGGGGCGAGAGAGCCCCGTTCGTAAGCTGCTCTCGTGCCCCTGGTCTGCTGGAGACCATCTCCAGCAGACCAGGGGCACCGGGAGCAGCTTAGGTCTCTCGCCCCGGAGCTCGCATGCAGCAATCTGCCACCTTGACCTCCGGGGCGAGAAAGCCCCGTTCGTAAGTGCGGATCCGACGTAGGTCGGATA